ACAGGCTCTAATTATTGAATGATTTTCCCACTGGGTGAAGGTGAGTGTCCCTTTAGAGGAAATGTATCTCGGTCCTTGGTTTCATCAGGATTCTGTTTCTTAATGGAGGTGACCTACCTAAGTAGAGAGCCACAGCTATGATACGTGTTTTCCCATGATTTAAAGAAAAATGTTGAATAACATTTTCTGAGCCATCAAATAAGTATCTGAAGATATTAATTTCAATAAATGGTATTAGAGGAATTTAGTTGATATCTGAAGATAATTTTTGCAGGACATTTCAGTTGAGGAAGCAAGAATTGCAAATATCAATTAGCCAGCTCCATAATTATTATACACTCCTTTGGAAAGAATACTGCTGAGAGCCTTAATGTTTATGTGTGATGAAGAAACAAACACATTATTTTATGGGCAGCACAAATCATAATTTCATGAAAATATTTTATAGGGCATAAGGGACATTCAGCTAGATAAAGGTGAAGTGTGTGACTTTAGGAGGAGAAAGATTTTACCAGTTAAAGAGAGAAATAAAATAGCAGATGCTATTCTGAACTTTAACTTATTTCCCAAGAGTAAAATAATCCTCAGTTTTGCAGTAGAAGTGGAGTTATTAGGTATTCCTAGATATATTAAGTTCCATTCAGCAATTAACTTTCAATTCTCTATTTTTAATAGGCAGCCTAATCACCTAGCATTATGTAATTAAATTCATAAACTATCAGCATTTTAGTATCTTTGCAACGTTGTGTCCTGAATGGAATAGACCAGATCTTTTGAGCAGACCATTTGTGCATCAAAATGTTTTATTAAGTCTGATAGTTAGCGTTTTATTGTACATATCCTACTGTTGTACGTATATTTAAATGTGCTAGATGAATGAGGCTGACATGATTTAACCATTGAACTATCTGATATTTATAGAGTCAGCGTATGAGGCACAGCAACCACTCCACAGAGAACTCTCCAATTGAAAGACGAAGTCTAATGACCTCTGATGAAAATTATCACAATGAAAGGGCTCGGAAGAGTAGGAACCGCTTGTCTTCCAGTTCCCAGCATAGCCGAGATCATTACCCTCTTGTGGAAGAAGATTACCCTGACTCATACCAGGACACTTACAAACCCCATAGGAACCGAGGATCGCCTGGGGGATATAGCCATGACTCCCGACATAGGCTTTGAGTCTGCAGAAGCAAACAAAAAATTCATCTGTTGACAATTTGCCATAGCACTGCTAGGATAAACCAATCATCTTAACTTGGCAAGTACAGCACAGTGTTTCCTGTGCTTGTGGGCTGCTGTCATTTGATGCTAGGTAAGGGGCAAAAAAAAAAAAAAAAAAAAAAAAAAAACCAACAAAAAAACATTATGCCCTTAAGTCGAGATGGTTATTAGATGCCCAGTCATATAGATATTTTTAAGCGCGGCATTTACATAACAGTACCTTTTGTTTTCTTCATTAGATTTAGACACATCGATTTGTAATTTAGGGTACTTATCAAGGCACATATAAAATAATTTCCCATGCTGGAAATTCCAAATGACCAGTTCCAGTTGGAACCAATTTATAAACCAATTCCTGTTGGAATTTGGGTGAATCGACTAGAAAGTCTACTTGAGCATGTTGTAGTCAATTTAAAAATCTGAAAAAAAAAACCAAAAAAACCAAAAACCTAATTAATGAGAAAATCAAAATACCAAAAGAAGCCAAAACCAGGTATGGTTTTATTTGCTGGAAGCTAAATTTACATTTAAAGTCGGAATGTATAAACATTTTAATATATGTTAACGTTGCCAGAATGGCTTTCAAACTCACCAAAAGTATTGATGATGCCAAAAAAAAAAAAAAAAAGTCTCCAATTAATGCAGAAATTATTCACTCTCCTCAGATTTTAATATTTTTGTTTCTTTCCTGGCACAGCTGTTGTATTCAAAGTGTTTTGCTTTGTGTTTAGTCACTACTGTTAGCTTGTCTGAAGTTGGCAAAAAACAAACAAACAAACAAACAAACAAACAAACAAAAACCCTCAAAATTTCTTTAGCAGTGAGAGAGAATAATATAAAGAAGCCCAATCATAGCTGGTCACAGGAAATGGAAAAACAGGAGTTGTTTCCCCTTTACTCAATCTGAGCATAACTACATACACAACAACATCCAGGAATCCGAAGTCAGACAGCAAGGGTGGGCACAGAGCCTCCTGAGTGCGAAGCTAAACATCTCCAGATGGGAATTCATCTGTCCAACTTACCACAAACATGGGGCCCGTGTTTCCTGCCAGCACAGTTGCATATCTTTCCATTGCTTCATTCAGTCCCTGTCTTTGAATATGTGAATGTTCTAGCCCTTCCCCAAATTCTTTATAATCATGCTAAGGACTTGTTTTACACGGAAACATTCAATTTTGATATTGAGAGCTGTGTCTATACAAAATAATGAAATGAAAAATGTGAAAACAAAAATGAGATGAACTTAAAGGCTTGCAATATAAAGCAAACTCACAGATTCAGAGTATATCTGTTCACTAAAATTATAGCATTTTTACTGACGAGAATTATAAAGAATTTGGAGATTGAGCTGCCTTATTTCTAATGAACACTCCTCTTCACCTGTGAAATCTTCACAGTTTTTTCCAGTGGCTGTAATTACGAAATTGGTGACCTTCTGTCTTATATTATCAAGGAAGCCTTAGATTCACTATGATCCAAGGAATTACTGAAAATTGACCCTTTTATATATTATACAAATATCTTTCAGAAAAGCCTCTTGTTTCTAAAAATCCACAATGCATGCATTTTTCTAAAGCCCCCAAAGGACCAGGCATAAAAATCCCTTTGTACTGGTACATGTCACGAAGACTGTATTTTGAAAACAATGATAATTGATTTCTATTACCTTATTTTCTTCCCAAGCCTTTCAGTATTTAGGCTTTCAAAGCATGCACCAGTTAAATAATCTTCCTCGCCATGAAAACAAGTTCCAATTTCTTGATCAGTTATACATCTCTTGACGCCCATGGTGACCTCCCACATTCCCTCTCCTCCTCCTGTTCACTGTGCATACTCCATTATGAACCTGGTTAGCTGATGATGGGGATGCCTATAATTATGTAAGTTATTTCACATATTTGATACAACTGAAAATATGGGCTCGGTAAATTCTAAAAGTTAACATGTGATATTGGCTTGTGAGTTCTTTTGTCATCTAATGAAGCTTACAGAACTTTCAGTTAAGACATTTCAAAGAGCTGTATTCATTAGGCACTTTAATAAACATATAACCTGCCATTACTGAATACTTTGTTAGAACAAAGAAGAGCATTTTCCAGCAAATGAAAATATATTTATTACATGTACAGCACATATTTGCATGAGAAAGAGAACATTAGCCAAAACATTTTTCTATATGCTTTACTGGTTTCTTGTTTGTGCGCATTCAAGTATTTAATTGCAAAGAGTGCATCAAGGTGATAAATTTAGACTAGACAGCTGTTCAGCTTTTTCTGTAGTAGCATTAGCAATCTGGTCATTTAACTACTTTAAGATATTTACATTTTATGGCAGGTAGCTGCAACAGCATTTACATATATTTCCTAGTCAGCAAGATTACCATATTCTTTCAACTTTTGAAAATCACTTGTTTTTAAAAACCTCTCAAAGCCTTGTTTCTAAGTCTCCCATGTCATATGCTAATAAAGAGAGGTCCGTTCAATATCTGTGCACAGAACCAATCTGTCGTTTACCATCAAGTGTCTGTACCTGTTTTGCTTTGCATTGTTATTCAAAAGCTAACAATCTTGGAAGGGGTATAAAGTATATTTTCTTGATGGATATATTTAAATTTTTACTTTGATTTGGCATATTCTTTTCATTCCTTTTGTAATTAACAAGTTTATCTTCTCCAAATGAAAAAGAAATATGCATTTCCTTTTTTTTAAGTGTTAGAGTTTACTGTGTAAATGATACTTAAATACACATATATACTAAATGAAAGTTTTATTTTTGCCAAGCATATCAAGCACCTTTGAAAAATACATATTCCTCAAATACTTTGTTTTTAACTGACTTCATTTCAAAATAGCAATGATAAGCAGGAGAAACAAGTCTTACAATGTTTTAAGTCTGTTTTAACTTGTAGTATAAATCACATATTCTGTAACTTCAGTATATATATCAGAATATGTAAATTACATATTCTGTAATTTCAGTCTGCGAACATGTAACATTGTAGACACGTGTGACAATGTGGAAATGTAGTTCTGGAAAAAAGGGAATGCAATTTGTCAATCCTGATGTTAATTCTCAAGGCAATGTGACTCCAATATTATAATCAACAATGTTTTCTTGTTTACACCAATATTTAAAGCAACACTTGGAAATGTTTATAACTGACTGATTATTCTCTCTTATCTTTATACAGTTCTATTGGAAAGAAAATTGAAATTAACAATTTAGACTGATAGTCTTTCCTAATAAGAGAGTCTTAATTATGTGACAATATGTCATTGCACTTAGTCCTTAATGAAATGAACTTTTTAAATATAAAACAAATTCTAAGAAAATTATTTGTTCCCTTTGAGTAATTTGTTAATTACTTTAATTATTATTGTCGTTGTTTGCAAAACGTATTTTTGGAATGTTAACCTCTTTTCATACCTGCATACTTGAACTTGTCTTTTGTGTGGGGGCCTTAAAATTCATACTAGGAAGCTAGGTCAGTGAAAGGGAGGGAGAGAAAGAAATTATGCCAAAAGGTGGTTTGCAAATTTAAACTCTGAATGAACATATCACAAAATGCTGTTGAGACCCAGGATGTCAGTTAAGAATGTTTCTAGGCAACTTTAATTTGCATGCTAGTGTGTTTTTTCAGTTATACAATTTTATTTTGGTATTTGCTAAAAAATAAAAATGATGTAATGCCACTATAGAAATTGCCCTATATATTAATATTTATACTACCTCTTCTCTAGAGAAGACAGTCTGTCTTTAAGGAGAAAAACACTTCAATAAGTAGTGATCAAATTTATTACTCTTACTGCTAACCCAGCTGCAAAACTAAAAGCATAGATTCTTAAAATATACTTTCCCTTTAAATTTTAAACTGTATCCAAAATACTCTTGTCACCCTTCATTTCTTCCATGTTAGTGAAGTTTTCTTTGAATTGGTTCACATTTTACCAGCACACAAAGTTAATTTAAGAAATCAGTCATCAGAGGGAATAAAATAATCTGCAAGGGAATTGCCTTTGTGTGAAATTTGTTATAATATCTAGCTCTAAGTCTGCAAGGATAGATCCAGAGACTTAATATTTAAGTGCAGCTGGTTTGAAAATTCAAATTTTGATCCTTAATGTCTCCCGTGGACAGCCATTTACTAGGTGAGGGTATGCATTATCTTGGACTCCCATGTCATTGGAGCAAATTCCATATAAATGTTTTAAATAAATGGGAATGTACCCCTCATTTCTTTTATATTTCTGCCTTTGTGTTTCATGACAATGTTGCCTGTTGTTTTCTTTTTAATTATATAAAACTCATCTTTGGATGACTACATGAATGAAAACAGAGCAAATTATGTAATAAAATTTGTTTTATTAGTTCCTCATACCTTTAAATACTGTTAATACTTTGTTACTGAGTTACTTACTCAAATTGTGTCTATAGGACAAAGAGCAGGCCTCCTCTTTTAAATGATAATTATGAGCAAACCAGTCAATAAGATAGTTGTCTGCAGACAATAAGGATAACTTTTTTGTTGTTGACTTAAGCAGTCAAGGTAGTCAAAATAGTAAAACTGGCTCAAATGGGCAGAGAGCTACAGCATTCAAAAATCACTTTTTAAAGATTTCTTCTTTTATTAAAATGAACTTTCTCCAATGAAATACATCTTCTTTTGGCAACTATCTTTATCTACTTGTGGATCGTTTAATCCCAAATGCTTCCTGTAATTGAGGGACAAAAAAGACGATTATAAAATATCTCATCAGATAATCTTGAACAAGGGCTGTAACTCCCATTTACCGTGAAAAGCATATAAATAAGAGTGAATAACAAGACTGTTGGAGAGTCACGGTTACATATAAAAATTTTCCTCTGTTTCTTGTGACGTATGTAAAGCGTTTGCTGAAACATGGTAGAAAATGTTACCAATGAATTTAGAGTGGTCTGGGGTGTATGCTAATGCA